TAACTACAAGCCGTTGCGCTCTGTCACATCTCTGTAGACAGCTAGAGCGGTGCCCCAAAAAGACCACCAAACCTGTCACAAGGCAAACGTGCTTGATATTGAGTTTCCTGAGCTTAACTTAGGTGTCAAGGCAATGCTCCCACTGTGATTGGTCAGGGTAGACAAGAAGAGCCTTGCAGAAATTTGAAAGCAAGCGCTGCACACTCCAAGCTACAGGACCCACCATCTCATCCTGTAAAAGCAAATCCCAGGGGTCCCGGGCCCAAGAATCCTCTTGCTTATAATATACTTCGACGGGTTCCGGGAAGGCCAGAAGAAGTCAGCTGAGATGCGTTGGTACAAGTCTGTCCTCCTCTCCCCTTGAACCAAACCTTCTCCGGCTCCTTGACCTTCTCCGGCTCTGGGGCCTAGGCAGGGAGGACAAGCTGGGAGCTTGTTGCGGTAGGAGCCTCGTGAAAGCCATGGCTCAAATAGTAGCTCTTTCCATTTTTGGTGAGCACAGCCCTCTATGCTTCACGTGCCACACTACGCGCACAAGGGAACCACCATTGCAAGCATGATCACGCGTGTGCTCAGGCGACTTTACCCAAGCCCACCAATCCTCTGCCCCAGAACATATCAATGAAGCCCGTAACCTACTGCGCGGGGGGGCGGGGGGGCAATGTCTGAAAAGCTGAAAGGGAATTCGCTTGAAAGCGTGGCGAAACGTTCATTGGATGTAGGCGCCCGTTAAAAAATGCTTGAATTTACCCAGAGCTGTGCCTAGTACGTTGGAATTACGCACTTTACCACATGTTTAAACGCGATTAAGCGAGCTCTAAGAAGGTAAAAGCAAGGATTTCGTGAAGATCACAGACTGGACCACAAGTGAAGATGGATAGGAGCCCGGCCTTCTTGGGCAAGGCGGCCATGATTTGCCTCTGCTCGCAGACCACACCTGCAGGTGGAAGGCTGTTGTTCCACCTCTGTAGTCCTTGGCTGAAAAATCTCAAAAGTGTGGCGGCTGAGGGTTTGGGAGGTTAGTCTACCATCGTTTGGGGCACGCCTCTAAAGAGGTTTAATGACTTTATTTCTACCCTAGGATTGGTTCGTTAATGTTTGAGGGTCATTCCTGGGCCTCGCATTAGGGATTTTGGAGTTGGCAAGATATGAGGGTCTGGGATTTAGAGTTGTCGTGCTCCCTGAGTGTACAGGCTTCGGAGCGTTTAGCTTAATCCAGATTAAAGGGAGCCATGATGCTGGCTTACATACCTTCAAACCGCAGCTGGGGATCCCTCGGAGGTGAAGCCCACGACGTCTCCGTCGCCACTGATGTTGCCGCCAGCATTCAGCCAGCCCTCTGCTTTCGCCGCCTTCCAGGATGGTAATAGTGGCAAGAGCAAGCAAAGGAAGATCTGATGTTGTACAAGACATGCTTCTGCTGATGACGATGATGCCCAGCCCGTGTCGTATGGAGAACAATTCCGGCAAACAAAGTAACAATGGCAATTCCAGCACGGTGGTGTTCGAGCTAGTTAACCCGAACCCGCGTCCAAGTCCGAGCTTTTGGATCGCGGTCTTCAGGCTCAGGGGTCCAAAGGAAGGCTCGGGCTGGAGTTCTTGGGGGTTGGGTTTAGGCTGGGTTGCAGCATGGGTTGATACTTTTCTGAAGCCCGTATACCTTCCATAGCTTGCAAAGAGCCTACCACTCGAGCTTGCGGCCCAACATGTTTGGTTCCAGTCTGTGTGGAGCTATACATTGTGCTCGGGTTTTGCTATGGGAAGAAAAAGAACAAGTTGTCATAGCTTGCAGTCCACCAGGGTTGCAAAGTTCATAGAACCGGAGAGACCTCTAACACAGGAGCCCACATTATCCTTAAGGTAAGCCTTGATACTAAACCTTGATCCCCAACCCCCAACCCCTAGCACCGAATCATCCCAAAATTGCTCATCCTAAGTTCCAAATCTCAACAATTCTTACACTCCAAAGCACCAACGCAGAGGCCTCCAAGATCATGTCCATGGCTTTCTGTCCTGACGCCTCTTTCTCGGGGGCCTCCATCCGACATTACTCGAAATGAGGCCATAGCATTTCGGGTTGTGGCCTTCGGACTAGGGAAGTCGATCCTTGTAGCAATCCCTAAATCTTCATGGGCAGCCCCGCTCTAGAGTATCCATATGGACTCCCCAACTCCTCAACCACAATTGACAGAACGCTGGTTGAAAGGATCGTCTTGCCTTGGGTTTCTGTCAGTTTTAATACATGCCCATCTTGAGGCCTTTTATGACATAGGAGCTTTAGTGTGGTTAGACAGATTCTGGAGAACTAGGTGGTCAGAGCTTAGCCAGATCATTCCCAACCAACCCTGTCCTTTTTGAAGCATCGACAAGGCCAGGAAACATTGAGAATAAGAAGGCACTAGGCTTTAGGATTTGGGGCTTCTCGCAACTTCTCGCTACCCTACACGTTAACATTTTTGTTTGAGTGGCCACACAGGTCAGGGATCCTGGCCCAGATCACCACTCAAACTACGAGCCTTCGCTTAGCCTCGCCCAACAAGTTCAAAGGTCATGTTACCCCTCCTATGGATCCCAGGTATACGAAGGGATGACTTCAGATGTACAGGAGTCCCCTCGAGGTAGATAAACTTTCTCACGTAAGCCCCAAGCTGCACTTGTTGTCACCTCAACTAACACATGTAACGATGTGTTTCCAGAATCCTGCACTGCCCTCAAAGGTTTGGGATTCAGGGATTCCATGAAGCACAATCAGAACCCCAAGAAAAAGCTGCATGTGCTTTTGAGAAACCCCTATATCGGGTTTGACTCGTTCAGCAAATCACCCCACCAGTCATCCTTCCCTAACTGGCTACTGTCCCTACAGGGCATGCCCATAAGTGCCTGTAAGAAAGTAGTTTGAATTGGAGGTTTGAGTTCAGCAGCCACAGAGGATCTTGTTTAGAATCAAGACATGTCCGTTGCAAAGACGCCCTGAACTTCAGCCCTCTAAAATTGCTGCTGCAGCCTGAAAACTCCGCAGAAAATGTCCCCCTGGGAAAAAGGAAATGCACCAAAACCCGAGGCTCATTAACAGGTCCCGGTGAGTTTAGAAGCAGCCGCACAACCTTGCTCAGACTATGCACATCCCCCCAGCTTATATGACTGCACTGGGTCTAAGTCTGAGCCATGGGCCCTTTCGGATATGCAAGGATCCCTTCTGATCCACTTGCCCCCACCACCGAGAGGGATCTGTCCTGTCGACACGCAGGCCTCAGCCACCTCGCAGCCTTTCGAAACGACGCCGCCGACCATGAGGTTATTGGTTCTGACGTTGTAAGAGGTGCCAGTAGCGAAGGATCCTGTCTTCGCGGGTTTTGGGGAAGGAGCAGTTTAAGGTTGAGGCTGCCCGTAACCACACTGAAGCTTTACCTACCCAAAGCCCCTCAAGCAAAAAAGCTCTTCAAACTTCCCAAACTTCACACCCAGGGTCGCTTCCAAACATTAAGCTCGTGGTTGTCGCTTCTCTTAAAGCCTGGAGAGGGCACTTGCTCCCAGCCATCCTGGGTCGCAGTTTGGGGCAGAGGGGCCTGAGTACTGTTGTATGGTTTAGAGTTTGGGGTCTCAGGTACAGGTTCCTTGAGACCGTGAGTAGGAGTAGGGTGTCTGAACGGGCAACAGCTGGTGGCGAAGTATATCTAGTGCGTTGGGTGAATCTGGCTTATTCACGAGGCTTGGTGTCATCGGCTTCAACGGTTTTGTGTACACAGCTGTTCGTGCGTTTCTTGGAGGCCTAGGTTTGCTTGTTCCCTGTACGGTTTAAGATTCCGACAAAAGTGAAAGCTTTCCTCAACACTGGCCCGGTGTCGCTGCTTAGAGCACTGTCAACACCAGCATTGTAATGGTTCCTGAACTGCACAATCGGACTCCATAAGCAGCTGGCTTTGATGATTCGCTCCATCCATATTGCGCGCTCCAGCTTCAGGAACTTGAAAGTTCCATAACGAGGGTTTTAACGGTGTTCAAAGTGTTCTGCGTAGAGTTTGGAGAACTCTTCATCTGATGCTCCAACCTACGTCATAAACAAGACTCAACCCTACAAGCACATAAAGGCTCGGTATCTAGGCTTCCAAACCCAAGCCCAGGCTCTTCATGACCCAAATGTACAGTGTGACCGGCGCTCTGTAAGTGATGGTCCTGGCACAGACTTTCGGCTTCTAACAAACCAACTGTTGGGATTTCATAGGTCATCAGGTATTTCACAAACCGAAAGCGATCCTCAGATCTAACTGAGGGTCCAAGTCCCAGCAGAAGGCCACGTCTTTGTGCCCAGGTACTTGCCACCAATCAGCCTAGGTCGTGAGTTTTCCAGCTTGTAGTCTACTTGAGCTCATAGAATCTAAAGAATGCTTTTAGGGCTTAGGATTTGGGACTGGAACAAGGAACGCGCCCCATCCCGCTGCTTCCTGATTGCCTCCTGGTAGCCCCGACTTCAGTTGAATGTTCGGTCTTCAATCTGGCATGGCAAGGCTAGGTTGTGCCTGCTGGACTTGAAAGCAACCCATGCTGTTCCCAGAAGCCTTTAAAATAAAAGTTTCAGCAACTTCTTGAAGTTAGCGTTCCAGAGCAACGAAAAGAATTCAACACTAAGACGCGCAAGTACGTGAAGGGACACAAGAGACAAACCAAGGGAGACAAGGCCTGCAGAAATCCAGCCGAGACAGGAGTTCCTTAATTCCTGGATGACAGGAGTAGTGGGGAATCAAACGGAAAGAACAGAGTTAAGGCCCTTGCCCTTCAAGGAGCTATATGAATTACAGTCATGGGGGGATAGATTGAATGTAGCGATAGAGGTCTAAAAAACACTAGCGCTCAAGCTCTTTAGGGAACAACCACTTCTTTGCTGAGTTGCTCTGTGAACCTTTGTTGATGTGAGGGAGACCTATCCCAAACATTCCCAAACAGCAAGCGATGAGATCCAAAGAAACTTTAAACCGAAGTCGAACAACAGTCACCCAAACTTCCTTCCTCAAGCGCAAGCCCAGAGTCAATCCTGCATTTTCCCAAGACTCACCCACAAAAACACTGCACCAGAACAAAGGGTAGCCCAGGGACACTGCAGGGACATTCTGTAGCCTGTAGTCGCGCTGTCCTGGATTGACAAGGATGCCTTCTGACACCTGATTCAATCAAGGACACAGGCTTAGGGATTGGGGTCTGGATTGGGGTTTGTGGAGCAAGATTTGGGTTTTGGAGTTTGAGCTTCAGGGTGTTTTGACTTGCTTTGAACCTAGAACTCTTGTCCTGCAGACCTTCCGCATCAATCATTAAGCCTGCATCCCTCTCTGGCTCAGGGATTCTGCGCAGCAAGACACATACGTGCCATACCCCGAATAATGCCTGACTCGAGGCCCTTTTGGGATCCATGCCAGGTTGGGACATGCTCAGCAAGTGCTAAATGCCCCCACCCTTTTAAAAAACCTAACACGCCCTTCATTCATCTTTGCTTGGCGCTTAAAGTTTCCGAGCAAGAGGCGTATCGTACTCAGTGAGTGACAACTTCCAAGATGCTCATGCCTTCGCATGCCGCACAAGAGCAAACCTTCCGGGATCTCCTACATCCTGCCGCTGTGGTGCGCGCAATGCCTTCTGAGATGTGTAGGCCGTGCAATAAAGATTGGCAGGGCGCTGCTTCCTCAAAAACTCTTACTAAATTGACCTTCTGCACTACCCAACAAGACTCACTCAAGGAAACGAGTAGAACAAAGAGTACAGTTGAAAAGGTCTGCAATGAAACGCCCGAACCCTCATTAAAACAACACAAGCATTTCTCCTGTCTGGGGTCCACTAACTTCCCACCAACCGATGAAGCCAGAATTTGGGGATCTCCCACGACATACTGTTTCAAATCCTACTCAGCCCAAGAATGCCTAAAGCGCTTTCAAAGACAGGGCCCGCAGTTTTGACAGAGGGTCAAAATCCAATGATCACGAAGCTATAACTCCCAGGCACTCAAGCCACCAAAACACACAAGCCTAGGCCCTAAAGGCTCATATTTTTCAATCTTCCTAAAGTGGCCACAGCACTACGGCTACCGGGTTCCATCCGATGCCAAGACCTGGTTGGATGGGACGAACAAGAAGCGTTTGGGTTTCGGATTCAGGGTTTAGTATTCAGGGCTTAGGATGTAGGATTCGGGGCATCCAGGATTCAGCGTGTCGGATTCGGGCTTAGGATTGACGGGCCTTGAGTTCAGAGTGTGGGGTGTAGGGATTGATCTTTGGCTGGAGGAATGCGGCTGTTTGCGGTTCTAAGGCTTTGGATTCGAGGTTTATCTAAGCTGGCGGCAGCCAAAAAGCTCGTGGGGCTTCAGCCACATACACTCTTTTTTGAAGCTTGCACCATAGGACGAGCCCCGACACACAAATGGTTCCTCTAAACCCTCAAAGAAGCCTTAATGTTCTCACAAGTAGCCCTCTGGGACTGTTAGCCTGCACCGCTAGACAAAGAGCGCGCGAATCTGCAAGCTAAGCTTGAAACCTGAACCCCCAGGCCCAAGTCCTATACCCTTCACAGCCCCTTAACCCTGCCCTCAAGCTACCCCTCAGACACTCCAAAATTCATCTAGCTGAACTAAAGTCTGCCCTAAAGCTCACCCTTAAGCGCCAAAAATAGCTTGACCCTGAATCCGCTAAGCCATAACGATCCAACGGAAGCCTGAGGAGGCTGTGACAGCGCCGCAGGCACCATCAGGGCTGGAGCTGGCCTCCTCCTTTTGGGGGTGAGTAGGAATCTGGTAAGATATCATATTGATGCTAGTCATGGTATTAGTATAATTCATATCAGTAGTGGTGGAACGTGCCTCAACCACAGGCAAAAACATCACAAATCCTATAGCTACCAATGCTTTTTCAGGCGCGGTGTGATTATGCCTTCCACCGATGCACCGCCCCGCTACCCTACCCCCATCCCAATCCCTCCTCGCGTCCCCTGCCCTCCACGAAACTTCATAGCAATTCACAGCTAGAATTTCCTCACGTTTTCATTATGTTTCAGCATCTACAAGCTGGGGAAAGTCGTTCGTAAAGTGGGGAACACTAATCACGATACGCAGAAGTAATAGTTAAAGCAAGAGCTGTAGCAATAGTGACAGGAAAATCAGTAGTAGGTGGTTACGGTACTTTTTATCCGCTTTTTGAAAAAGCTCCGCTTTGAGAAAGCTCGGATTTCGGGAAGATTACACATCAGCAGCGTTAGCTGCAACATGCTGGGACGCAGTTGCTACCTTTCTGCGCCTGCTAGCCGAACAGTAGACAACAGCCAAAAATAAGAGAGCTAAGACTCACTTGCCACGTGCAAGCCTCTTGGA